CTGTTCTCAGGCTGTAGCTCTTCCAGGAGAGCACTTTTCTTCCTCCTTCCCGTGGCCCTTTTCTTTTCTCCTCCCTCCCTCCTTCCTTTCTTGCAACAAATATTCATTGAGCACTGTATTGGTTACCAATTGCCAGGTAACAAACCACTCCCAACCTTAGTGTTTAAAAACGACCCCTATTTTATAGTGCCTGATTTTGTAGGTTGGTGGAGCTCCTCTGTGCCGTTCTGCTCCCGTGGTGTCGGCTGGGCTGCCTCATGAGGCTGCATTCAGCTGGAGGGCTGGTGACAGTGGAAGGTCCAACATGGCCTCACTCATGTGTTGGGCAGTTGGTGCTCCAGCCGGGGCACCTCAGTTTTCCTGCACGACCTCTCATTCTCCAGGATCTTTTCCGCCCTGTGGCCTTTCCAGCAAACTTGCCTGCTGTTGTCTTCCAAGAGGGTGAATCAGAAGCTGCAAGGTCTCTAGACTCAGAAGTCACAGAGCATTGCTTCCACCACATTTTACTGGTCAAAGCAAGTCACAGACTAGATTCGGGTGGAAAGGAATGATCCTACCTCTTCATGGACAGAGTGGCAAGGTCATATTGCAAAAAGATACGTGGGATGGGAGAGAGTTGGAAGGACGTCTTAGGAAACACAGGTACCTACTATGTGCCAGGCATCATTCTAGGCCCTGGGAACACAAAGGTAAAGAAAAGAAAAGAAAACCCTTGTTCACCAGGAGCTTTCATTCTGTTGGGGGAAGATGACAGGAAACAAGTAAAATATATAGTAAGTTATATGGAGATAAAGGCTAAAGAGAGAAATAAATTGGGGCAGGATGTGGCGTGGTAGGGAAGCTACAGGGTCAGGGGAGGCCTCACTAAGGAGAGTCATATGAGCAAAGGCTAGAAGGAAGTATGAGATGAGCTTTACCAGTGAAGGGAACAGCAGGTGCAAAGGCCCTGGGGTGAGGACATGGTTGGTGTGGTTGCTGGGGAGGCCTCCAGTAGGCATTTACTGATTGAGATGGAAGATGGGGGAGGACTTTTTTTTTTAATTAACATAATCCATATAACATAAAATTTACCATTTTAAAGTATAAAGTTAAGTGGTTTTTAGTATATTCTTGATGTTGTTCAGACATCACCACAACCTAATTCCAGAACATTTCCATCACCCAAAAAAGAAATCCCATAACCATCAGCGGTTATTCCCTACTCCCCCTCCCCCCATTCCATGGGGGAGACAACTACTAAGACACTTTCTGTCTCTGTAGATTTGCCTCTTCTGGACATTTCACATAAAAGGAATCATGTAATTTGTGGCTTCTTTCACTTAGCATATATTTTCAAGGATTATCCATGGTGTAGCACGTATTAGGACATCATTCTTTTTTATGGCCAAATGATATTCCATCACATGTACATGCCATATGTTGTTTGTCCATTCATCAGTTGATGGACATTGAGTTATTTCTACTTTTTTGGCTATTGTGAATAATGTACAAGTTTTTTTGTACGAACCTCTGTTTTCAGTTCTTTTGGATACATTGCTGGGTCATGGGGTAACTCTATGTTTAACCTTTTGAGATTGGTTTCCAAGCCAGGCTGGTTTCCAAAGCAGCCGCACAAGTTCACATTCCCACCCGCAGTGGATGAGGGTTCCAGTTGCTCCACGTCATCACCAGCTTTTGTCACTTGCCGTTTTTGTGATCGTAGCCATTCTAGTGGCTGTGACGTGGTACGGTGGAAGATTTTGAGCTGAGGAGGGCTTTGGTTTTAACAGAGTCTCTGAGGAGTAGATTGAAGGGGAGCAAAAGAGGAAGCAGGGGACCAGTGAGTAACAGGCTACTGCAGTGGCCCCAGCGAGGGAAGGCACTGCCTTGCGCCAGAGTGGTGGAGAGAAGTGGTTGGATCTGGGATATATTCTGAAGGCAGAACTGAGAGGGTTTGCATAAAGGTTGGATGGGGTTGGGGGTGGGAAGGGAAGACGAGTCCAGGATCCTCCCATGTGTTTGGCCTGAGTACCTGGAAGATGAAGTTTCCCTTTGTGGAGATGGAGAAGACCACGGGTGGTGGAGGATCATTTTGTGTTTCCTTGTGCCAGTTGCTGGTAGGCAGAGCCAGCCCCTTTTCGGCTTTTGACACGCCCAGCTGGGAAGCTGGGATTGGCACTTTGAGCAGGAGATGTGGAAGAAGGCGGTGGATACCATGATTCACGCGTGTTAAAAAGATGCCTGCCTGCCATCCCCACTGACCACGCCCTGAATGTCGCTTAAAGCCATTTGCTTCCCTTCCCTCGGAGTGGGACAATTTCTGCCCGGGGGTTGCAAAGGATGGGGAGGGCATTCATTTTGCTTATGGGCTGGTTAAAAAGGCATGTGGGCTGCAGCCTGCAGGACTCTTGTTTCTGAGGCCACTTAGGGAATTACCGTGAGAGAACATTGTCCCGTGAATGATCTGTGGGCACGGTGGGGTAGCTAATCCTTCCTGCTGGTTGGGAATGCCTTGGGACTTGTCCTTGTCCTTAACTGACCAAGCAGTCAGCAAATGCTCTCTTTGCTCCCTCCCTGCTGCTTTGGGCCACCGCCCTAGGCACCAGGAGGAGGGGGTGGTGGGGAGACCATAGTTGACAGGCAGCAGTAAAGCGGGCACACTTTCCCCCTCCCCAGAGAGCGCCTTGGTGGTGACAAACTTCTGAAGTCAGAGAGGTGAAATTTTCGCTTCAGTGTCTATATTAGCTGTGTGACTTTGAACAAGTGACTTAAACTCTCTGATCCTCTGCTTCTCGATCCATAGAAAGGGGGAAATTATGGCACCTACAGTATGGAGTTCTCCTGAGAAGCAAATGAGATAATCCACATACGGTGATTAGCCCTTGTTTCTGTTATCTAGTGAGAGAGATCCACAGAGCAACCGTTTATATGTGCCTGCTGTGTGCCTGCGCCCCGTTAAATGGCTTAGCCGTGTCTATTATGTGAGGTTAGCCTAAAATCCTGCCAAATGGATGCGGCACTTCCTGTCACAGGTGAGCCAGCCCAGATGCTCAAGTTAAGCCCCTGGGTTAAGGTCATACAGCTGGCAAAAGAGAAAGATGGGGTTCGAACTCAGGACTGACTAACTTCCTTTGTGAACACGCTAGGAGAGGTCGAGAGGCTCTTCCTATGAGCAAAGAGCTGCAGTGTGTCTTGGGAAGGAGGTTGACCAGCCAGCTGGGGCGTGGTCCTTCATGTCCCTCTGGCAGGTTTAGTCTTCCCAGGTATCTTTGGACTGGGGCGCAGATTGTCTGCACCGTGCTCCCTCATGCATCTGTGCCCCCTCCCGTCTCTCTCGCTTTCCTCTGCATCAGAAGGAACCACCAACCTTCCCCCTTCCACCTCAGTGGCCTCTCAGCTCCTTCTTTCTCCCTTAGTGCATTAAGGACACTTTTTTTTTTTTTTACCATGCTTTTACTTTTTGGGGGGTGGGAGGGGGACTTCCTGTCCTCCCTCCACTGCAGTCCCCTTCCCCTGTCAAGCCTCCCCCAGTCAGGCACAGAAATAGTCCCAGCTGTGAGATGAAGGTTGCAGAGTTTAAAATTGCAGCTCGGTACTATTTATACTCCAGCCGGAAAGATGTTTTTTTGTGCAACCGTTTATTTGGTTGTGGTATTGACAGCCCAGGCGGCAGGCGGCTCCTGCACTGTATAAACATTTCTCCGGGGACAAGTGGGCAGTAAGGGCAGCCTTCAGGTGAGGGGGGCAGGTGCCAGGCCTGCCCAGAAATGTCTGGGAACACCTCCCTGGAGCAGAACAATTCGGCCTGGTAAGCCAGAGAAAGCGGTTCACGTTCCAGCTGAACTTCCTTCCTAGATGCTGGTAATTAGAGAAAAAAATAACAGGTATTTTATAAATCATGAAAATAGTACATGCTCGAGGGGAAAAAGGGTTCAGACTAATTTTTACACAAGTGAGTAAAGCAGGGAGACCCTTCATGTTCTATTTTGGTTGGCCCATGGAGCGTTAAAATTTTTTTTTTGAATTTGTGCCACTACTTAAAAATTGGGACATTTCCCATAAAGTTAGAATTTCTGGCTTCTCTTGAAAATGGAAGGTTCTGGCAATGCTGGCCTTGTGTTTGCTGATGGCTGCTAGTGGCTGGCTGCTCCAGAAGTAGGCAGAGTGATTCTCAGATCACCCCAAGCCCCGGTGGCCCGCTTTGTGTTCATCTACCTTACCGCCTGGCCTTGATAACTTCTGAGGTTTGGACCTTTCACGTAACATAAAACATTCAGGGCTCCTGTGTCAGAGTGTCAGACCTCATTCTCCAGTTCCTACTCCCCAGGGCTAAGTAAGCACTATCGATAGGGTTTCCAGATAAACTACGGGACCCCCAGTCACATATGAATTTCAGATAAACAACAAATACTTTTTTAGTGTAAGTATATCCCCTAACTATTACAGTTCGGCAGTATCATCCCAGGCCTTTCTCTGTTGAAGCAGACACGTGTCACAAGGGTAGTTTTGTATTCTATCTCCTGCAGTTGACTTTGCTCCCTGTGGTCTGTCTGAAGAGGCATTTTTCAGTGTTGATAAGAGCAGGCTTTGAGGCTGGGGACTCAAACCTACAGGAGAGTCTGGGCCCCAGTGCTTGTTAGCTCTGTGACCTTGAGCAGGTTCCCTTACTTCTCTGAGCCTCAGTTTCCTCATCTAAACGATGGGGGTGATGAGGGTCGCTTTGTTATCTCCTGTTAGTATTTATTTATCTCGTCTCTTTTGAGAGATGCGTCGAGTGGATGGTCCACGGTGGCTTGAACCAGAGAGGTTAAACAGACGTGCCCACGGTTATCAAGACTGAGGCGGGCACATCCCGATTTCAAATGAGGCCAGGAGAGGTTCTGAAAAGGCAAAGTAGGTCTGGAGGGAACTGGGCAGATAATCCTAAGATTTAGTTTGCTTTAAAAAAGAAGAAAGACAATGAAGGGCGTTTGTCTCCCTGGAAACCACTTGCTAATCTCCAGGATCTTGTCTCTCTTCAGGCAGCGGAGGTGGAGGAGACCGTCGAGGGCTTGCTCCTCAGGCTGGAAGAGTTTTGCAGCCTGGCTGACATGGTGAGTGCCCGCCTTGGAGCCGTGGGTGCAGGCCCAGCCCAGACTTCAGGGCCTTCCTGGGCTTCCCTGGGGAGCCACCTCGGTGGCGTGGCGGCTTAACCAGCGGGAGGCGTGGCCAGCGGCGTGGGGGCAGCTCACACCCTCTCCCTCTGTCCACACGAGGTTCCCTGAGGCGGCCATCTTGATAACGCCCTTCCCCGGAGATGCCTTCATTCCACCGAGGAGGCGGGAGTGGGCCACCAGGTGGCACTCTCGGGCCCGATGCGGGGAGCCGGTCGGCGGGGACGCTAAGACTATATTTAACTTTCCTCGCTCTGCACAGTTCGCCAGGCAGACGTGGAGACAGCCAGGAAATGGCTTCAGGCCTGGGAGGCCTAGGAGGAGCCTCCTGGCCGGGCCCTGGCCCTGGTGGGCTGCGGCATCGAGCGCCCTCCTCAGCCCTTTGGTCCCTCCACTGTTGCCTCCCACCCTGCTTGGTGGGAGCGGCTCCTCCTGGCGGGGAGGACCGTGGAAGATGGTGCCCTAGGCCAGGAAGGCAAGGTCCCACTCCTCCTTGTGTCTCCAGGATGGTTGCTGGACAGCTGTGGGGCCCTGAGGAGCGCTGATAGAATGTTCTGGAAGTTCCCAAGGTTATTAAAGGCACACCAGCAGCCAGGGTTCGTGGCTTCGGCCTGGAGGCCCAAAGGGTGGAGCTCCATTTGGGGACCAGGCCTGCCTCTCCCCCGGAGCACAGGAAGCCCAGCTGGGCCCAGCCGGGCAGATGTGTACCAAGCGTCTGGAGAGACGCTGGTGAGCGCCCCAGGGAGTAGCGTTTGTTGAACATCTACTTTGTGCCACACTCCGTACAGAGCGTGCTCCCTGTATCCTCCCATTCCACCTCAGAGCAACCTGCCAGGATGGGTACGACTTTATCCCCATACGTTCAACAGACATCTGAGCGCCTGCCTGTGCCAGCCCCTGGGGACACTGCAGTGAACAAGACACAAACATTCCCACAAGGACCTATCTGTGTTTTTCTCTTGAGAGCCAATTTTTTAGTTCAGATGTGGGTCCAGGTGGGAGCTGGGTAACGAGACTGGCTTTGAACGCCCTGAATGGTCCTTTCTTCATCACCGAACATTGGGCACCTTCTCTGACTGGTCCCTTGGTGAGCCTGAGGATGCAAAGAGAGACAGATCTGTCTCCATCCACCCTCCCCTCCCGTCCGCATCCATCCACCCTCCCCTCCCCTCCGCAACAGCCCCCGATCCCCCAAACCCGATCTGTGTACCAGCCGCTGTCCTCCAGGGTTGAAGCACTGGCCTGGAGGTGTGTTCCAGGTGCAAAGCGAGGCTGCAGAGGTTTTGAAAAGGAAAAGAGGTTCTAGAAGGAACTGGGCACATAATCCCAAGACTCAGTTTGCTTTTTTTAAAAAAAACGAAGAGGTGTTAAATTCTGCCTGGGAAATCAGGAAGTCTTTGCAGAACAGGTGGTGATTAATTTGGGGTTTGAAAGAGGAACAGGAAGAATTCAATTGCTGGGGGGGCGGGCATTCAGGCAGAGGGACCGGCCTTGGGGGGTGGCATGCTGGGCACATAGGGACAGTGTGGGCCCACACAGTGGGGCATCGGGAAGATGGTGGGGACGGGCGATCCTGGGACAGTTTTGTTCTCAAATCCCAGTGCATCCTCCTCCCATGAAGGGAGATCCACCAACCACCCTCAAAGAGAGCTTTGGGCAGAAGTCAGCTTGGATAGACAGGGAGGGGCCAGGCCTTACTTGCCTTAAAAACTTCAAGGCTTCCTGTGGTGGGCAGTCTGCGGAGGCGCAAGATTGTATGCAGCGTCGAGAAGATCCTCTCCAAACTCAAAGCCTAGAGATGCATTTATGCAAAGATTTTAAATACAGAGGTCACAAGATGACCCATGGGCCCAATCCTGTCTGCAGACATGGTGGATGTCTCTGGGAAAAAAAAGAAGGAGGAATGAGCTGCTGACATTTATAGAATGTCATGCAAAAAAATATGGATTCCCGGCTTCTCTTGGAAAAGCAAAGATCTGTCCTTCCCGCCACCCCCTGCCCCGCGCGCGCTTGTTCTCACCTGGCAACCATCAGCCAGAGCTGGACAGTGGCCACCCTTGTGGAGAGCACACGTGCTCTCCTGCTTGTCACCGTCCCCACTGCTCCCCATGGGAGCCTCCTTGACTCCCCGGCCACCTGCCAGGTGCATCAGTCCTGTGCTGTGTGCGTGTGTTTTATGGGAGAGAACGTTTCTCTGTACTTCGGGCCCTACTGAAAGCAGGCAGATACCCACCAGACCGAGAGAGTCCCATGTTTTTAAGAAATGGAAGAGATTGCACTTCCCGGGAAGTGAAGACTATTTCAGTGTGTTTATATGCAAATGAGCATGTCTACATTAATAATAGAATGCGCCTTGTACGATGCTTTTGTGGCCCATGGAGGTGTTTTGTGTTCGCAGTCCCTACAGTGAGGCTCTGTGCTGATGCCGTTTCGATTATAGAAACCCTCTTGGCCCCCACAGCTGGTGCTTAGCTTACCTAGTGTGTCTGTGCCCAGGTGTTCTGGGCTCCATGGTACAGAGAGAGAGCTGTCCAGCTATCAGCCCTGGCTTGGGACCTCCTTTTCTCTTTTGATCCAAGCCAGGGATGAGTGGGGACCTCTGGGAGGCAGGTGATGTCACACCATGGACCACTGTCCCCAGGGCCCTGCTTTGGCCTTTGGAAACACTGATCAAGTTAGAGGTCCCGGAACGGCCGGGCTCCCTGGTGCACAGTCCAGAGAGAGATGGTTTCCTTCTGATAAGATCAGGCTGTTAGGAGTGAGAGTCCACCTTCCTGTCTGATGTATTAAGTCCTCTGCCAGTCTGTCCCGGATCACTCTAAGTGACCAGCATTCACACCATGTGCTCGTGACCTGTTCTAACCTTAGATATAACGCCTCTTGCCATCACTTCAAGCTCTGACTCTTCCCAGTGGGGCCTTGGGCACAGCATGTCACCTTTCTGTACCTTTATTTCCTCCTCTGTAAAATGGAGGTGGTGGCTTTGATAATCTACCACAGCATCAAACTACCCCAACACTTAGTGGGGTGAAACAACCACCAGTTTATTATGTGGGCCGGGACGGGGCACAGAGTACAGCTCATCCGAGCTCCGTGGCACCTACTGGGCTGGGGACATCCAGGGTGGCTGCTTCCCTCACTTGTCTGATGTTTGGGCTGGGAGGGCTGGCTGGCTGGGGACCAGTTGGCATCACACTCCTCCATGCGGCCTCTCCTCGTGGCCGTCTGGCCTCCCAGAGCCAGCGCTCCAACAGATGGGAAGTAGAAGCCTCTGGAGACTTAGGTATGGCAATTAGCACAGTGTCACTTCTGTCATATCTTATTGGTCAAAGCAGCCACATAGCCCACCGGATCCAAGGGGAAAGGACATAGACCCCTCTGCAGAACTTGTGGCCATCAGTCATCCACTGCAAATGGTACCCATCTCCAAAGAGTGATCGCGAGGAATAGACGAGGCAGGGATGTGCCCTTTACATCCAGTAGAACGGCCAAAATGAAAAAGACAGACATTAGCAAGTGTGGACGAGGATGCGGGACAGCTGAAACTCTCCTTCACTGGCTGGTGGAAACGCACAAAGGGACAGCCGTGTGGAGCAGACACTCGCACACAAATGTTCATAGCGGCTTTGTTCATCATGCCCCAAACTGCAAGCAGCCCCGGTGTCTGTGGGCAGTGGAAATGGGTAAATAAACTGCTGTTTATTCATACGCTGGAACGCACAGCAGTGGAAAAGAACGACCTGCCGTACACAGCAACGTGGGTGATTCTCACGAATGTGCTGTTGAGGGACAGAAGCCAGACACACGAGTGCTTCCTGTGTGAGGCTCCACCATATGAAGTTCACACCCAGGCAAAACCAGTCCATGGGACGGAAGTCAGGTAGAGGTTAGCCTTGGGAGGGTGGTCGTGACAGGGAGGACGCCAGAAGGAGCTTTATGGGGTGAGGGGATGTTCCATGCATTGGTCTGGGTGGTGGTTCCACAGATGTAAACACACATACCGATTCCTCGAGCTGTCCGCTAAGGCCTGGGCTCTTCACCGTATGTCATTTACACTCAATCAAAAGTAATTGCTTAGCATGGTGCCTGCTGTGTGTTAAGTGACCCATAAATAGTAGCTACTGAGGTCATCATCATCATCAATATTAAAGCACCAGAGGGCCGTGACACAGACGATTTTATCCGCAGAGACTGGATTTGTGAGGCCTTTCAGCTCAGTGCCCTTGGGGCTTTGGGCAGTTTGTCTGGGTCCTTGGAAACCCTAGTAGCCTTGGGCCCACCTTCTGGCAGGGAGCGGACTCTCCCATCTCTCACATAAATGGAGAACATTTCCTGTTGGCCTCTGCCCAGCAGTTGCATTTGGCGTTGGTGTGCGTCCTTAGATCAAGTGCACCTGGCTCTTCTTCCTGGGCCTTGCATCATCCTGGAGAGCCATGTTTGCTCTGTGATAACCCCCTGCATCCACTACCCAGGCTTCTGGGCTCCGGAGGCTAGCCTCGGGGAGCTGGGAGGACAGGCTGGGGAAGGGTCCGCCAGGCCCCCCCGGCCCATAGACCTGGCTGGAGTTTCATCCCATTAGATTCTCAAAAAGCACTGATTCTTCCCTGACATCTTTGTTCTTCTGAGAAGTGTGCATAAGCGTGAACGCGCATGCCTGTGATGTGATGACGTGAGGTGGGTTGGGTGTGAGAAGAGAAATGTGCCCCTTTCCTTCCACTCCCCTATAAGATGAACAGGGCATGGGGTGGCCACGGACGCCGTGCTGGGGAGACTGTAGGTAGTGGTGGAGACTCTGGTGAACCAAAGCGGGCTGTTGTCACCCAGCGCCCGCTGATTGTTGCCAGGTGGAACATGTGGCATGTCAGTGTGGCCGGGTCTTCTGATTTCTCACAAGAAGCCAGAGATCTGGGTTTCTAAGGGAAATATCCTTAATTTTAGATCTTGGCACCTCGCTTGGTGGTACTTTCGGTTTTTCAGGCTGGCTCTGCGTGAGCCTGATAGAACATGTCTGCAGACCTCTGGTGTTAGGAGGTGGCCTCAGACCCACCTGGATTGGCATCCTGCATCTCCCACTTTGTAGGTTTGCAACCTTGCCCAGCTCATTTAGTATTTCTCAGTTTCATCACCTATAAATCAAGGTTGAAGAGAAAGCAATTCCTGTACCACAGGGTCTGTTCCCAGCACGTGATGAATGCTCCTGGGTGTTGGTACCCTGCCCCCCGCCCCAGCCCATGTTAAATACTCTGGTTTTTGTCTCTCGGTTCCCAGCTCTTGGGGGAGCCAAGAGGAAGGTTTGGGGGTGTTTCAGACTCCAAGGACTACCCTCTACTTTCCCCCCAAGGACCTGCAGGCTGCCTTCTGGGCAGGCGTAGAGAGTTCGCTCTGCCCTGAGTCTCAGCCAGTGGAGGAGCCTCTGCAGAGAGGGGGCTTCCTGCTCGGCCCGCAGACCCTCTGGCTCTCCAGTTCCTGAGGATCTGAGGGGAGGCGGGCAGAGTTCCAGAATCTCATCTCCGCCGCGTTCCCTTCACCCCCGTGGGTTGCTGAGACCAGTCCCTCCTGATTCTCACTTGTGCTCCGCTGCTTGTTTCTTTAGAAATTAACAGAAAGAAAAGATCTGCCTTTGATTCCCTGTGCTCTGACCTTGTCATGAGTTTCTGTTCTTCATCACATCATGGCAATTTCTCCCGAGTTTAGCCTTGTTGAGGGATGGGCTTCTCTCTAGAAATTTGGCCTGGGGGAAACAAGGGAGGATATCGAGCCCTTTTCCCTATCCCAGCTAACAACTGCAGGCGCCTGCAGGAGCCAGGCAGGATATGGAGGGAGTCAGGGGCTTGGGGCGAGGCGCTAGGGATGGGTGGCCACTGCAGAAACTGGGAGCGCGCGTGCCATTGGGAGGGAGCAGTTGCTACCCAGCCTAGCCTGCGGTGCCTGGGGAGACGGGCCCAGTGTCGCCAAAGCTGCTGACTTTTAAGAGAAGTTATAAATCCGCACTTAATCTGTTGAATATTTTAAAGCCATATCTATGTATTTTATTTTGGAATAGTTTTAGATTTACAGAAAAATTGCAAAGAGTTCCCACACAGCCCTCATCTAGTTTCCCCCGCTGTTAACCTCACCTTCGTACCTTTGTCAAAACCAAGGAACCAGCACAGATCCTTGGCTACTCACTGAACGCCACACTTGGTTGTGATTCCCCAGCTTCCCGTTAATGTCCTCCTCCTGTTCCAGGATCCATCAGACACCACATTGCCTTAAATTGTCAGGTCTCCTTAGGCCCCTTTAGTCCGTGACAGTTTCATTCTTTCCTGACTTTCCATGACTTTGGCAGCTGTGAGGGGTATTTGGTATTTTGTAGAAGGCCCCTCAGTTTGGGTTTGTCTGATGTTTTCTTGTGCTTAGACGGCGTTGTGAGTTTCTGGAGAGAATCCCCAGAGCTGAGGCGCCTTCTCATCACATCACATCAGGGGCACGTGACACCCACACGGCATCACTGGGCTGGTGGCCTGGCTCCACAGTAGCATCACCACATCCCCCTTTCTGCGACCCGTTCAGTGGCTTGTTCCTGTCACATTCGTGTGTATTTATCTTATAGTTGGGGATATCGTCCAATGTTACATTATTTTGTTGCTCAAATTGTCCCAGTTTGGGCCATGTGGCTCTTTCAGGTTGGCTTTTGTGTTCCTTTGACCTGCCCCATCCTTCTTTTCTTTTCTTTTCTTTTTTTTTTTTAACACTTTCTTACTTTCTGGCACTATGAGATGCTCCAGGCTTTTATATGTTCCCTGCCCCAACCCTAGAATCAGCCATTTCTCCTCGGAGCCCCACTTGAGTTTTAAAGTTGGAAATTAAGTCAAATTTAAACACGAAAACACTTTGTGGGCCAAATGAGCCACATATGTGGGCCACATGCAGACATGGACGATCTTGTATAATCCCTAAAGCATCCTTTCGAGAGAAGCACTAGTCTGATCCCCACTTTACAGATGAGGAAACCGAGGCACAGAGAGGTCAGGGCAGAGACTGAGGCCAGACAGCCTGGTGCCAGATGCCACCCTCTTGGGGCTGCTCTTTGGCCCCAGGGGGTCAGGGCATGGGAAAGGAGTGTGCCTCAGGACAGTGGGCTTGGAGCCAGGTGCCCAGGGAGATGGCAGTGCCCTGACCAGAGGAGGGGGACCAGGAAGGAAGGGTTTGGTTTTAGACATGCAGGTGATGGAATGGCTACCCAGGGCAAGGAGGGAAGTGTCATCCTGAACAGTGATGGGAGCGGAATGGCAGGAGAACCAGAGGTCTCATATACTTAGGCAGAAAGAGGAGGGAAAATGGGTATAGTTTTCAAAAACATTTTTAAAATTAAAATTTTTTGCTGAGTTGTCACCTTGTATTAGTTAGCTATTGCCGCATAACAAATTCCCCCCCACCCCGCCATACCTAGTGACTTAAGCAATGATCTTGATTATGTGCTAGTGTCTGTGGGTCAGGACTCTGGTACAGCCTAGCTGGGTCCTGTAGGTCAGGGTCTCTCACAGGCTGCCATCGAGATGTTGGCCAGGACTGTTGTCACCTCAGGGCTCGACTGCGGCAGGATTGCCTCCAGGCAAAGTCAGTGTTTCTGGGCAGGATCCAGTTCCTCACGATCATTGAACTGAGGCCCTCAGTTCCTCACTGGCCATTGGCCAGAGGCAGGCTGCTCCATCACGGCAACTTGCTTCTTCACAGCCGGCAGGAGAGGGCAAGTGAGAAGGAAGAGGGGGTGGGGGGAAGCATGCATGAACCAGGCGGTGGGAGAGGCCGCCAGCAAGATGGGGTGACAGTCTTCTAGTCTCAGGAGGGCCATGTCTCACGTTGGCTGACTCCTCTTCATTAGAAGCCAGTCTCTAGATCCAGGCAATGGTCTCGGGGAGGGGATCACACAAGAACATGAACACCAGGAGGTGGGGCTTGTTGAGGACCGTGTCAGAAGCTGCCCGCACACGCCATGCCAAACGGTCTGCTAAACGTTCTATCCTCACTGCATTCCAAAGAAGCAAGGACTGTCTTGATTGCTTCCCTGTCCAGACAAGCAAAGGAGGGCTCAAAGAGGTGCAGTGACTTGCCCGAGGTCACACAGCTCATGGTGGGTAGAGCTGAATTCAAACTCCAGTCTGAGTCCTAGTAGCCCACTGGTGTTTCTCTGACTGTCCCCGGACCGCCACTCCAGCACAGCCTTGGAGCTTGGCAGAAAACAGATTGCCCGCCACCCCCACGCAAGCTAGACCAGACTTGGAGGAGCCTTCAAGTCAGCATTAACAGGCTTCCCTCCAGGGGATCCACATGCTCCCTAGAATCTGAGAGTGGTATGTATTCTGCCTCTCTGTGTGGTCAGGACATGGTAGCATGGAAATGGAATCTCTCTCTCATACACACACACACACTTAAGGGTTAGGCTTGGCACTTTTGGCTCTGCAGGAAAACGGAGGCTTAAGTGTCCAATCTCAGTGATCAAGGGAAAGATGTGGCTTCCCAAAGTTCTCAGTCGCTTTTGGGGTCCTTCCAAGCAGAAGAATCTTGGAATTAAATGAGATGCATGATGTGCAGGAAATGCTTAGCACAGTGGCTCCGTGTAGGAAGCAGCATGATGACGAGACTCGTCATTAATGTTAATGATTATTGTTAACTCTTCTCATTGACATTATTAGTTCCAGTGTAACAAAAACTTGATTTACCTCGACTTCAGTTTAGAGAAGAGATTTTGATTCTTTCCATTTGGTCCAGTTCACTGGTTTACCATATAAAGGTATTTAGTTTGGAGCTGGTGGTGTTGGGTGTTTGGTCAGGGGGAACAATTAATTTGCAGTTCAGTAAATAATACCTGGTTGGGTCTGGGTGCCGAGAGGCAGTGAGGTTGGTCCCCACCCGGGACTATGGGTCATTCCTGGGCCTGTCCCTGGGCAGGATGGCATTCGGTGTCTCGGCCATCAGCAAGGTCTCTGAAGAGCCTGGCCGCCCCCAGGGCAGCAGGAGGACGCGGGGCTGGGCCAGAGAGCCTGATGAGCTGTCTTGTTCCCTGCAGATCAGGAGCGATACCTCACAGATCTTGGAGGAAAACATCCCCCTCCTTAAGGCCAAGGTGATGGAAATGCGTGGCATCTACGCCAAAGTGGACCAGCTAGAGGTGAGTCCAGGATAATGAGCTTTCTTTGTGAGCTCCACGGACTTGTTCTGGCTCTTTCATTGTCTCTTCCAAGATGCTGATCTGGCCTTGATAGTGTCAGGCCTTAGACCCAGTGGAGTGGGGTGGTAGCCAAAACGGGGCCTACACAGTATCTCTAAAATATGACAAATATGAATTTATATAAAGTACCCATTTAAAAATCAGGGTACTTTATACAAAAATCTGAATTTTCAGCTGCTTTTGGAAATTCAGAAGCTTTCATAACCCTAGACCCACCTTTCTTTAAATACTTTATTCTGTTTATTTTTTAAGGTATAAATACATAAAGTGCACACATAGTGAGTGTACAATTCAGTGAATTTTTACACATATAAACTCCCAGGTGAAGATGACCCAAACTGAGAAATAGAACATCTCCAACCCCTAGGCTATGTTCTGGTAGAGCTGGTGGCAGCCGCCCCTCAGACGAGACATGTGTTCTGCATTTCACCACAATCCACACCATGCCCTATTGCCTCACTGCTGACTTATTTCACCCGCCCTTTACCTGTGCGGGCACCAGGCTAAGGTGCATGGTATCTCATTTCCTCTTGGCTGCACTGCAACGTCAGTATCCTCACCGTCCCGTCTCCTAGAGGAGGAACACGAGCTCTGAGAGGGTAAGCCACTTCTCTGGGGTCACACAGCTAATTCTGTGAAGCTGGGACTGCAGCTCATATCCTCTGGAGCCCAAGCTCTTACTCAAACTGGGGCCCTTGGCTTGGGCGCCTGGCTTCTTGCACAGTGAAGGACCGGGAGGCTGGAGGAGCCTGCAATTTAATAGCTGTCACCTAGACCAAGGGGATGTGTGTCCCTCTGAGCTGTGGAGGAAAGGAGCCCGGCAGTGGGCCCTAGAGTTAACAGAGAATTAACATTCTTGTCAGCAGAGAATGAGGCAGGAATATAATTAAAACTTTGCCCTTGGAATAGCTGATTCATTTGAATTTTATTCCACATGTTTGAAAGAGGAAAGAAAATGTGAAGATTTGTAGCCCAGGTTCTTGCCTTGCTTGGGCTGGCCCAACTCTCAAGCCCAATTTTTCCCTTAGTATTCAGTCCGCTAGCATTTATTGAGGACCTACTATGCGCCGCTGCAGGGCTCTCACAGTGAGAAAGACAGCGTCCAAGGGTGTGTTCCAGCCAGGAGAAACACAGCAACAAAGCATGACCATAGCATTTCCCGGGGCTGCTGTAACAAGTTATCACAAACATAGTGGCTTAAAACAACATGGATTTAGCATCTTACAGCTCTTGAGGTCAGAAGTCCAAAATGTGTCAGCAGGAGTCAGCAGGGCTGGTTCTGGAGGCTCTGGGGGAGAGTTCACGTCCTGGCCTTTTCCAGTGTCTGGAGGCCGCCTGCGTCGCTCAGCTCATGGTGCTGTCCTCCACCTTCAAAGCCCACAGCGTAGCATCTTCCAGGCTCTGTCCTCCTCTGACTCTCCTGCCTCCATCTTATAAGGGTGCCTGTGATTACCCGGATAATCCAGGACAGTCTCCCCAGCTCAGGATCCTTATTCACACCTGCCAGGTCCCTTTGGCTACAGGTTCTGGGAACGAGGATGGGATATTTTGGGGGCCCGTCATTCTGCTGACCACATTCACCAAGGGTGACCTAGAGGGAGTCGAGTGCTCTGGAGGGAAGTAGCGAGCAAGGAGCGGAACCTTCTGGCCCCGGAGGGTGAGTGGAAGGAGCTGTGCTGGGTGCGTGAGGGCACAGCTTGGGCAGAGGCTCAGAGGCGGGGGGCATCTGCGCTCTGGGGCAGGAAGGAGACGGGGACACTGGAAGGATCCGGGGAGGGCCAGGCTACAGGGATGAGGGAGGTCATGACTTGAGCGGGGCTGGAGACATTGGGCAGCAGGAGGCCCGTTGTCTAGGCCTTCCACTCCAAGGTCAGCATGGTGGCCTTTTTCCTGAGGAGTAGGAAGCCACTGAAGACACAGGATGGCTCATTGGTTAGCAATCATTCCCCACTCCTGGCCCCTGGCAACCACTCATCTACTCTGAGTCTATGCATTTGTCTCTGGACATTTCATATCATATGTGGCCTGTGGTGTCTGGCTTAGTTTACTTTGCATAATGCTTTCAAGGTTCATGCAGGTTGGAACGTGTCAGAACTTCATTCCTTTTTATGAATGAATAGTATTCCATTGCAGGGATGGCTGTACCGCATTTTGTTTATCCATTCATCCGTTGATGGGTCCTTGGGTTGTTTCTACTTTGGGGCTGTTATGAATAAGGCTGCTATGAACATTCATGTTCAGGTTTTTGCGTGGCTATACATTTTCATTTCTCTTGGGTAAATACCTAGGACTGGAATTGCTGGGTCATGTGGTTAAGTCTTTTTAGGAACTGCCAAGACCAGTTTCCAAAGTGTTGACACCATTTTACTCTCCCACCAGCAGTTACTGTAAGCTTTAGATGGAGATTGCAAACTCAGATGCCAGCAGGATCCAGGATTGTACTGGGCAGTCAGGTATTAGAAGACCAACCCCAAGCCACAGCCCCTTACTTTCTGGGAAGAGCTGGAGCTGAGAAGCAACTCTCCCCTTCAGTGGGGTGTGAATCTCTCGGCTGCCACAGTCCCCACTCTGCCCTAGAGTCTCCCCAACATTGAGGCTAAGTGGCATTTGCCTCTTGTCAACCCCCGGAAACTGCTGCTTTCCTTAGACTAGAGATATTTCTCTGTAACTGCGTCTCCATTAAAAGGAAGAGGGCTTCCCTGGTGGCGCAGTGGTTGAGAGTCCGCCTGCCGATGCAGGGGACGCGGGTTCGTGCCCCGGTCCGGGAAGATCCCACATGCTGCGGAGCGGCTGGGCCCGTGAGCCATGGCCGCCGAGCCTGCGCGTCCGGAGCCTGTGCTCCGCAACGGGAGAGGCCACAACAGTGAGAGGCCCGCGTCCGCAAAAAAAAAAGGAAGAAAAAGTTAGTCCAAGAGGGTCATGGATTTCAAGGCAAATGGGAGAATATGTATTTCCCACTAAGCTGCATGTGACATGAGAACAATAAAACTTAGGACCCGATCAGACCCCAATCTGAGGCGGATGGATTCCAGAGCCAGACCACCTGGGCCTCAGATCTGCCCCTTGGGTAACTCACTCACCCTCTCAGCATCAGTTTCCTCCTCTGCAAATTGTGACTATGTCATCGTGAAGGTGTTAGTCCAGCACCGGGCATCTTGTAGATGCTCGCTGAGGACAGGCTATCGCTATGGTGGTGGCCGTTGCCCACAGGCTGAGAGCCAGAATCTGGGATGCCTGCTTAGCACTCGGTCCAGCCGACTGGGGGCTCCAGGGCCTAACATGTCAGGGGGTTCCAGGGAGCCCAAGGCCACTCAGCTTTCAAATCAGTGTGACCCATGGCAGGGGAGGCTTGGGAACCATGGGGGTGACCTTTCAGGCCAGAAAAAACTAACATTTACTGAGCACCTGCTATGAGCCAGGGACTCTTAGGTGCTTTAGTTGAAACAGCTTGCTTCACCCTCACAGCAGCCCCAGGAGGAAGGTCCCATTATTCGTCCTATTTTGTAGAGAAAGTGGCTGAGGCACAGAAAGGCAAAGTTATTTACCCAAGGTCACACAGCTGGGAAGTGGTGGAGCTGGGATTACAAAAGTCAGTGCTGGCGTTGGCATCCTTTCTGGACTGGGCCCTGCTCTGAAGCTGGGGGCCTTTGCCACAAGGATTCAGATACATCATTCAGGACTCACAAATAAAATTTAAAACAATGTGACTTTCCCTTCTCTCTCATCCCTCCCCCGCTTTCCTTCTTCCCTCCCTCCTTCCCTTCTTCCCTCCCTCCCTTCTGATAATAAAAGTGGTTCATTTTCATTGTAGAGAAGATTATATAGAAGTCACCTATAGTCTCAAGGGTGGTCCCGATTAGCGCTCACCCTCCTCTGTCCCCTCTCCTCCCCTCTCTGTGTGGATGCGTGTCCGCGTCTTTCCAGTTTCCCGGGATCAGCTTTCCTGGCCAGGTTTCGGCCTCTCCCTGGCTGCGGCTTGGCCGGGCTGCCCCCTCTGGCAGGCACTTTGGAGGCGGTTCCGACCTCGTGAGCGCACATTCCTCAGCATCCCTCATACTCCCCGCCACATCGGTATTAACGGTATTAACGCAGGGAGCGTAAAATTGGAATCGGCTGGAGGAGGGACTGTAGAACTTTCTTTTGTGTCTTACAACCAGATGTGCAGGCCCAGCAAGGCCAGGGGAAGCTGCCCAGCCTGTGGCTCCGTCTCCCCGCCCCCCAACACACACACGCACACGCACGCACACACACACGTGCACACACACACACACGTGCGCGCGCACACACACACACACACACACACACTTGATGTGGCTTATTCAGAGCCTTTCAGCTCTGCCCCTGCCAGAGCCACAGGGCGGCGGCAGCACAGCAGTGCCACCATCTTGTGTTCATCCAATGTCTTTTTGCTAAAGATGCAGTCATGCATGCATGCGTGCGTGTATTCATTCCTGTGTGTGCATTGATTCATCCATGCATGTGTGCATTCGTGCGTGCATGCATTCATCCATGCATACATTCATTCGTGTGTGCATTCATTCATTCATGCTTGCATGTATTCATTCCTGTGTGTGCACTGATTCATACATGCACGCATGCATTCATTCACGCGTGCATGCATTCATCCATGCATACATTCATTCGTGTGTGCGCACTCGTTCATTCATTCATGCTTGCGTGCATTCGTGCCTCCACCATCCAGCTGAGCCCCTTCCAGCTGACCAGGCCCTGGCTGTGGCCTTGTGAACAACACTGACTCAGCATCTGCTCTTCCAGAACTCACATCTAGAGGGAGATGGACCGTGAACAAGCAGACAGGAAGTTCAGAGGGAGAGGAGAGCTAGGAAGACGGGGAAACGGGGTGGCTCCGCAGTGACGTGGGGCATGTTAGATTAGGTGGTTGGGGAAGGCCTCTCTGTCGGGGGACAGTGGATCCAGGG